GTAACTTTGATCTGTACCGAGATTATCTGCATCAATGCTGGAAAACACATTTCCTTCGAATGGTTGAAAACTGACAATTGGCAAGTCCATGTTCTTCAACAATTTTCCGATTGGAACACTAAATGAATTTGGCCTATGTGTAAATTCATCCAGGTTAATCAGGAGATGTCTCAATGGTAACTTCATATGTAATAAACAAACAAACCAGTGTAGAGATTTGTTGAAACGAAGCTCGAGAAGTTGAATAACACCACCAATATTGCCTGTGTTGACATTCGCGCCATCACATCCGATTGCCACCAATAAACTGGTATCAATAGCATTTGCATTAAAAAATGATATAATGCTTTATACTTTGAGGAGATCCCTGTGATGTCCATGTCCCAACATGTCCCAGGTATTCAGAACCAGGCTCCTTTATTAACACAACGTGCTCCTCGGTCTCCAAAGCTGGATGACATCTGTTTCCTTTAATGATCTGGTTTCGAGTTTTGTCCTTTCGACCATCGAAATATAACCTTTCCAATGTTTTGGCAGCACCAGCTTGTAAAATTTTTCTCTTTTTCTGTCTTTTTCAACAAATTTTACTTGGTTCAATAACATCAGATGAGTCATGTGCATTAATAATGCCATAATCAACCAAAACAGCCGATGCTAATGCTGCAGCTGAGCGATCCAATACTCCCCATCGATCAAATTTACGAGCTAATGTTGGTAGTGGAGTTCGCATTTGAGAGTTCAAAATTTCTTGTGAGCTTGTATTGCTAGTTGATGATGGTGACTTAGGCGATTCTGTCATTAAGTCAACATCTTCATTACCATCTCTTTCGGTGATAGCTTCATCTAAATCACCTAACGTGACATCATTACAATCATCCTCTAAGCTACAATCTGGATGTGATTTCAAAGTTTCAGCATTTGTAATTGATTCACGTTTATAAAATCTCAATTAATCTGCAAGTTTTCTTTTCAGTTTCTTTTCCTGCTGCTTTGTTGTTTTAATATATTCGTTGCCAATAGCCATTTTGCTTTCTGTTCTTTGATCTGCAAGGAATATTATTTCATTTGGTGAACTTTACGATTCTTTTCACAAGCACATGTCAAAAAGTCTCTACATTTACATGAAGCGATATCAAAAATTCGATTTGAGTCAAATTTATAGTTTTAAACTTTGTTCAAGTACTGTGACTCCTTGTCCTTGGACCTTTGTTTAAACGGTTTCATAAGTGAGCGATATTTGTCATGGTAATCTCTTATTTTAGCTATTATTTGCTGACGGGATATTACTGGAATTAATGCTCTGTGCCATTTGTCTCAAGATTAACAGATATCTTCCTTATTGTTTCATTAATTGTAGCTTTTTTGGCATGGCCATCAGACAATTCTTTTCTTACTGATATAAAATGTTTCATGATATCTGCATACGTTGGCAAAACATTTATGCTCATCCGTGAAATGACGCCAAATACTGGGCATATGTTATGATTGCGAGTGAGTAGTTTCTTCATTCGTACAGTTTCAATCTTTTATGCCATGATCTAACCATACAAAGACAATACGGCAAAAATAAGTGATAGTTTTAATAATTATCTGCTAGATTCTGTGTTGTTTGTTTGACGCCCTTTGTATTTTACATAATAATAAATGCACATTCACTCGTCAGATGGCAGCTTTATAGCAGCTAATTATATAGCACTAAGTAATAATATTATTATATCACCCAGACACACGCAAATTTAAAAAAAAGTCTTAGTCTATCTCGGTAGTCCGTGCTCCGTACTCCGTAGTCGGTAGGTCAGATTTTGGCGATTTTAGGGAATTTCAAAGACCTTACGGCACCTCAAGATAATTTCATAGAGCATTGCAATTTTTACAGAGTATTTCTGATATGAATAGACAACTTTTGCACACCCAGGCAAAATAAACATCAAACAAAAAAAAAATTCTAAATTTTTTTCGGTAGGTCACTTTTTGGGTTTTTTTAGGGATTTCAAAGTCCTTGGGGCACCTCAAGATAATTTCCAAGAGCATTGCAATATTTACTAAGTATTTCTGACATGAATAGATAACTTTTGCAAACCCAGGCAAAATAAACAAAAAAAAAAATTTCACTGCACCCTAATATATATATATATATATATATATATATATATATATATATATATATATATATATATATATATATATATATATATATATATATATATATATATATATATATATATATATATATATATATATATATATATATATATATATATATATATATATATATATATATATATATATATATATATATATATATATATATATATATATATATATATATATATATATATATATATGTTGAGAGAAAAAGAGAGAGAGATTTTAGCATACTTAGCTATAATATATAACTTATATATTCTAGCTATGATGAGACTATGATAAGACTAAATTTATTATAGCTATGACAAGGTATATGATAAGACTAAATTTGTCTTCTTCTAGCCCCGATTATGTAATTATTGTTTTTATAGGTTACGACTGTAGTTTTTTTTTATCGGCAAAAAAGTAAATAAAAAAAAAATATATATATATATGTATAACTTTGTTTAATGAACTTTTTTTAGATTTTAGACTTTTTTTTCAACATGGTTGGGTCAAAAAAAGAAAGGTAGCTTCTATAAATTAAAAATATATGAAGCTATACTTAGTAATTTACTATTATTTGTCAATTGTTAAAAATTCAAAATTTAAGTACAGATAATCGGTTTTCAACTAATAGTTGTGACAATTATTTATTGCTAGTAAGCGGAACTGAGGATGTTTTGTCATTAGATTTTGTTGCAAGTGTTGCTGAAGATAAGAAAAGCCTTAGTTTACAAAGTCAATTTGATGCTTCGGCCACAAAACATTATTTTTCAAGAGCATGTATAAAGACCTCATTTCTATACTACACTCGCAAAACTTTACCAATTTACCAAAAGATCCATGAACTTTGCCTCAAACTCCTGTTTCAAGCAGATCTGATGTATAATATTCATATAAAAGTATATATATATATATATATATATATATATATATATATATATATATATATACATATATATATATATATATATATATATATATATATATATATATATATATATATATATATATATATATATATATATATATATATATATATATATATAAATGTATTTATATATATATATATATATATGTATATATATATATATATATATATATATATATTTATATATATATATATATATATATATATATATATATATATAATACTTTTATATATATATACTTTTATAAATATATACTTTTATATATATATATACTTTTATAAATATATTCTTAGATGCAGTTTATAAACTCCATTTAAATAATTCTCTTCATTATTTAGGAGCCGATTTTTTTCCAATAAGATATTTATATTGTAAGTTTTAATATACAGAAAGTTATTTTGAAAAAGCTTTAAATGATACAACTTGTTTGCTTCAGGTTTTTTTGAATATTCAAAGACACTTTTTTTCTTGTTATACAATTTTCAAAACCTTTTTACTACCCCTAATAGTGAATCTAAAAAACACCGTTTTTTAGTCTATATATATCACTTTCGCTCATCGGCGTTAATATGAGTTTAGTTAAAATCTCTTGAAAGAGTGCGTTAACTTTTTAAAATATTAAGACAATGTTTTCTGTTTGCTTCAAAGATGATTTAAAATTTAATATAAGTTCACTGCAAATCCACTAAGACAATGTTTTCTGGGTAAAACCAATATCTTTATTATCACAAGATAAACGTAATTTTATTGATTCTGATGGCAAGTTAAATGTAAAGTCACATGCTTGGGGTTGTTTTCAAATTACGTTACGCTCTAGAGGGAGAGGGAATAATAGTTTTGTGTCGACTCGTAACTAACTTGTTACTAAAAAGTTGTGATGTAATACTAAAGAGTTGTTATGTAATACTAAAGAGTTGTGATGTAATACTAAAAAGTTGTGATGTAATACTAAAGAGTTGGGATGTAATACTAAAGAGTTGTGATGTAATACTAAAGAGTTGTGGTATAATATTGAAGAGTTGTGATATAATACTAAAAAGTTGCGTTACCACTAGTTACTAAAAGTAACTTGTAAAAAACTCGGTTTTTTAAATTTGCCGACTGGCTGATCGAAAAAGTCTACATTTGCTAATTGACTTGCCTAAGAGACTTAAATTTGCCATTTTGCCGAATTTGCCACCCCAAAATACCCCTTTACTTTAAAAAGTAAATTGTAATACTTATATTTATAGTATTTATACGTACATACAGTATGTATTTATGTATGAATAATTACTATAAAAATAATGATAAATGTTATAACTTTCTTTTTATATTATCTTTATGTTTTATTTGTTTTTACTTTTTATCTATCTATCTATCTATCTATCTATCTATATATATATATATATATATATATATATATATATATATATATATATATATATATATAAATATATATATATGTATATATATACATATATATATATATATATAAATATATATATATATATATATATATATATATGTATATATATACATATATATATATATAAATATATATATATATATATATATATATATATATATATATATATATATATATATATATGTATGTATATATGTATATATATATATATATATATATATATATATATATATATATATATATATATACATATATATTATATATATATATATATATATATATATATATATATATATATATATATATATATATATATATATATATATATATATATATATATATATATATATATATATATATTGCTTATTTAATATATTTATTTATTATAATTATATAATTAACCGCATCATATACTACTTATTATATGAAAAGTTTTGTTAACATGTAAATGAAACAGCAAAACTGAAGATATTATTTACACTGTAATTTTATTTTTCAGAAATTAAAGTAGATGTTTCATTCTATTTTAGAATATAAAGAGCTTTAATTCAAATACCTGGGAACTATTTTGGTATTCATTGATTACAGTTTTAGGATTTATTGGAAATGGCGTTGTAATGATTGTTATAATCTTTTCTAAAAATATTAATCGCACATCTTTATTTCATATTGCCATATTTTCATTAGCCCTTGCTGACTTTATGGTATGTTTATTAAGCTTACCAACTTATATAATGTCAACTGATACTTTTCAAAGTTATCATCCTCAAAACATTAGTGGTGATTTAATGTGTATATTTATTACCGGTTATTCTTTACCGTATTGGTTTATTGATGCTTCAGTTTATTTACTCGTATTTATTTCAATTGAAAGATGGAACGCAATATTGTATAAAAATTGTTTATTGCCTCAACTAAAATCTACAAAGTCTAAAATTGCAACAATGGTTTTAATTTTCTTCCTTGCTTTAATCACAGAATCTTTATGTGCAGCCTTTTTTGTATATGATCCGAACAATAAGCAATTTGGAAACTTTTGTAAATATTTTTTAGACAAAACTTACGATAAAATTATCCTTACACTCGTTATTTTTATTTTAGACACTGTAATACCAGTTATTATTGTTTCTTATTGTTTTTACAAAATCTCTTTGTTTCTTAAAACAACTGGAAATTTTTTAGGAAAATCTATGAAAGTCAATAAAGTTGATGTTATACATACTCGAAAAGTCAAAACAATAAAGACAATCAAAATATTAGCAGCTGCTTTTTGCATTTGTATTTTACCAAACAGAATACTTTTAGTGCTCAGTTCTTTAAAAATCGAAATGTTGAAATGGAATAACTGGATCTCCCAAGTTTTTGTTTTAATGCGATTATCAAATTCTTTTATAAACCCTCTGATATTCTGTTTTGAGAGTAAGCAATTTAGAACAAATTTGTCAATAGTGTTTAACCGGTTTTACAAAAAAAAATCTACAACCTCAAGCGTAAGAAAACAACAACTAAACGGCTACGAAAAGTTGCCAGATTTGACTTTTTAATAATAACACCAAATAAGATTGAACCAATGAAAATTCAAATAAAAGACTAATTGAAACGGAACAGTCATACGTAGCGCTTTTTTATTTTAACGCAATAAATTTTTAAGTGATAACGTTTAATGTGAATTTATTTCATTTAATTGTAAACTTAATAAAACAAATTTTAAAAAGAGGTCATTCATTATGAAAGACGTCATTCATTGTAAAAGATGTCTTGTATAGGGAAAGACGTCATTCATTGTAAAAACGTCATTCATTGTGAAAAACGTCATTCATTGTGGAAAACGTCATTCATTGTGGAAAACGTCATTTATTGTGAAATACGTCATATGTTGTTAAAGTCATCATTAATGGTCGTCTTTTATAATGTCGTTTTTTTCATAACTTCGAAAATACAGTTAACATTTTATTTTTTTTTTTTTAAGTGAAATCACATAATTTTTTTTTCAAAAAATATTTTGAGTTTTAAATAAAACATGTTTTAAGTTTAAAAAAAAAAAAACGTTAGCAAAAAGAACAAAAAACCTATAGCACTCAGTAAAATTTTCTTAAGCCAATTATTGAAACTCCAAAAAGTCTACAAATCAGCATTGCTGTATTACTGCTTCTAGTTGCGGATGGTCTTTCTTTACTATATAGGTCTTAAAGAGTCACAGAAGAACATATCCATGATGTTGTCGTGAACATAAGTAATGCTAACACTTCATTTTCAGCTGATGATAACACAACCACATATTTTTCTTTTTTGGTAAAGCATTAACTTAAAAGTCAGTTACCCAAAGGTCTCTTACTTTTTTGCAATGAAAGTATAGCACTTGCAGTTATAAGAGAGTTACAAAAATACGGCCCATGCCAGCCAGGACTTAATGATATTTTGTAAAGCTTTTACAAAGATAATAAGAAATGACGCTTTAGCTCAGTATGGTACAAAATAAACTGTTTATGAAAGTATACTTTAGCTCAGTATGGTACAAAATAAACGGTTTATGAGAATTTGAACATATTAATCAATGGTTGATTTATCTCTCACAAGTTAAAGTTTAAACTCACATAGTAGTTATTTCTTAGTGTTCAAATTATGTAAAGTAGATTTAAGTACTCAATATTTGGAGCCCACGGAGATATTTGTTGCTGATCCTAAAGTTATCAGCTATCGTTCAAGTTTATTGCTGATCCTAAAGTTATCAGCTATCGTTCAAGCTTATTGCTGATCCTAATGTTATCAGCTATCGTTTAAGTTGCTGTTGATCCTGAAGTTATCAACTGTTTTAAAGTTGTTGCTGTTCTGAAAGTTACCAGCTGTTATTAAATTTCGTTGCTGATTCTCAAGTTCGAACAAAGATTAAAGTTTGTGAGAAGATAAAGTTGAAGTTAAGTAATAATTGATATTGTACTTGTTTTTTGGGTCAATCCTTTTTTTTGGGGGGTTGTTGATGCACATGTTTTTATTAGCATTAAAAAATAATATATATTTGTAATTTATTTGTGTTTGTGTCAGAATTGATCATAGTTTTTTTTAAGTAAGCATCATTTGTTGTTGACATTTATAGGGTATTTATATAATGTCAAGTATTGCTGGGAAACGACGTGTTCGTACCGTTACGGTCACTGCTATTAAAAATATATTTGAAAGGGCCAATGAGTGTATGACTAATTTTAGCCAGGATAGTAACTCTTTTGAGGAACTATCTAGTTTTAAGGAAGTTTTGATCGAAAAATATAATAAAGTTAAAGCAATTGATGATGATTTGATCAATTTAATTGAAGATGATGAGGAATTGTTAAATGATGAAAATTTAGCTAATGAGTTTTCTTTATTTTTCAAAAAGAACATGAAAATAATTGAAAAATTTAATAATAACATTTATAAAAGTATTAACGAGTCGCAATCTAGCAGTTTAAAAAGTTTTTCAAATAATAACATTAAACTTCCACCTTTAAAATTAAGTACCTTTAGTGGAAAGCCAGAGGAATGGCAGACCTTTTATGAAAATTTTGAATGTGCCATCCATAATAATAATGATCTTTCCCCAATACAAAAGCTTAACTATCTAAGAAATTTACTTGACGGGAAAGCTTTAAAAACAATTTCAGGCTTAGCATTATCAAATGACAACTATCATACATCATTGGAATTACTTAAGGAAAGATTTAATGATAAACAACTTTTAATTTCGACACATATGAAGTCACTTCTATCTCTAGAGAGAGTGCAAAGTATTAACAACATTTCTTTATTAAGACGTATTCATGATAATATCGAAGTTCAAATTAGAAGTTTAGAAAACTTAGGTGTAGATTCAACTATGTATGGACCTTTATTGATTCCTATTATAATGCAAAAAATTCCAGAGGAGTTAAATTTGATTATTGCTAGAAACTTCGATTCCTGTGATTATTGGGATATAAAATATGTTTTAAAATCTTCAAAAGCTGAGTTGCAAGCTAGGGAAAAAGCTCACTCGGGTAGAGAGTGTAATTTTGATCCTTCAACAGCAGAAGTATTACATTCTAGTGCTTCCTTTAAGCCACAATATGAATTAAAATGCATTTTTTGTAGTAAAAGTCATAAAAGTGAAAGTTGTAAAACTGTAACAAATATAAATTCAAGGAGAAATATTTTAAGAGATAAAAGGCGTTGCTTTAATCGCCTGAAATCAGGTCATATGTCTAAAGATTGTCGTTCTAGAATAAGCTGTTATGAGTGCTCAGGGAAGCATCATGTTTCTATGTGTTTTAAAAGGTTTCCTTTGCATATTGATGATAGTAAAGAATCAAACAATAAGTTAACGTCTGTTGCTACTACAGAAGCATTGAAATCTAAGAATGTATTGTTACAAACTGCTTTGGTTACAGTAAAGAATAAAGATAAGACACTAAGATGTCGCCTTTTATTTGACACTTGTTCTCAGCTGAGTTATATTTCCCCATCATTACGAAAGAAGCTCTTTCTACCCACATTAGGTAGAAAGCAATTAAATATTAAAACTTTTGGCAATCAGAGCCAAACCCAGAACTTAAAGATGGTTAAACTTTCTATACTGACTTTAAAAAATTCCTTAATACCTATAACTTGTTTTGTTAAGCCCATATGGGCTCCTCTTAGTGGTCAGTATATAGAGGAGGCTGTCGATTCCTTTGAACATTTAAAAGGAATAAATTTAGCTGATAGTAATGTAGATTGCAAATCATTGGAAGTAGATGTACTTATTGGAGCGGATTATTATTGGTCATTTTTTAATGGCAAGGTAATTCGTGCCAATACAGGTCCTGTTGCTTTACAATCATCAGTTGCTTATATATTAGGCGGAAATGTAAATGCATCATCTGGGAAAGATTGCTGTGTCTTCTCCACACATACTTTAAAAGTTGAAACGAAATTCATTAATGAAATTCCTTAATTTAATGAGAATATTAAAAAATTTTGGGAACTAGAGAATTCAGGAGTGGAAGATAATATTTTTAATCATTTTAAAAGTAATATTTATTTTGATAATAAAGAGAGTAGATATACAGTTAAATTACCATTTAAAAATAACCATGCATTATTGAGCGATAACTATAGTTTATGTATAAAATGTCTGAATGTAATTCTTAATAAATTAAAAAATGATTCTGAGCTATTAAATGAATTCAATAAGATAATTATAGAGCTATTAAATTCAGGGGTAATAGAGAAGGTAAATAATTATGATTCGAGTATTGGTGAGGTGCATTACTTGCCACATCGCCCAGTATGTCGTAAAGATAAAACTTCAACAAAAGTGAGAATTGTTTTTGACGCAAGTTCCACTCTACCGGGTCCATCATTAAATGATTGTATAAATGCTGGACCAAGTTTAGCTACACCTCTATTTTTTATATTATTACGTTTTCGTGCTAATAAATATGCCTTTATTGCAGACATAGAGAAAGCATTTTTGCAGATTGCCCTTGATAAAATTGATAGAAATTATTTGCGTCTAATATGGTTTGATGATATTTATAATATTAATAATAGTAATTTGTTTTCATCTGCATTGGGTACATATCGTATATGTAGAGTGCCTTTTGGTGTTACTTCATCTCCATTTCTCCTCAACGCCACATTAATTTATCATGCTGAGAGATATTGCCTTAATGATAATAATATTTCCTCAAAGTTGTTGCAATCCTTGCATATAGACGATTTGATTTCTAGCTGTGTTACCATTGAAGAAGGTATTTTATTTTTTAATAAATGTAAAGACATATTAAAAGAAGGAGGTTTTAACTTAAGAAAGTTTGAGTCTAATTCTTCAGCCTTTGAGAAACAAATTAACGGTGACAATTATGAGAGACAAACGAATACAAGAGTTTTAGGCCTCAAATGGAATAAGACAGAAGATTCAATAATTTATTCATTTGAGGATTTATTAAATGTAGTCTCAATAGTTCCAACAAAGAGAGAAGTGATGAGTTTTATTGCCAGTATTTATGACCCAATAGGTCTTATTAATCCAGTAGTTGTAACTTGTAAAAATTTATTTCAAAGGGTTTGTGTTTCTAAGTTAGGTTGGAATGAAAATTTGTATGGTGATTTATTGTCTACTTGGAATCTTATTTTAAGTGATTTCAAATCTGTTTTTCAAATAGCAGTACCTCGATGGTATATGAGTCCTGGGTTGGGTAATATAAATAATGTAAAATTTGAATTACATGGTCTTTCTGATGCAAGTGTTAAGTCGTTTGGGTGTTGTGTTTATCTTAGATTTTTTAATGCTAATTTTAGTCGTGCCTCTTTTATAGCCTCGAAGTCTAGGGTTGCCCCATTAGGCAAGAACACAATGCCTCAATTAGAGCTTTCTGCAACTTTACTCTTAGCAAAGCTATTAGCATCTATTTACGATCAATTGATATCTATTTATAACATTTCAAATATAATATATTGGACTGATTCAACAATTTGTTTGCATTGGATTTTTAATACTAATAATACCTATGAACAGTTTGTACAAAATCGTTTAAATAAAATAAGAGAATTGACTTTAATTTGTAATTGGAACTATATTGAATCCTTTAGGAATCCTGCAGATATAATATCACGAGGATCTTCGCTTAAGAAATTAAATAATTATGAACTTTGGTTTTATGGACCCAATTTTTTAAATGATATTAGTATTAAATGGCCATATTATGAACATGTTAATCATTCAAATGAAACACTTGAAGTTTTGTGTAATGTGGTACATGTTAAGGTTAATGTTAATCTTGACTTTATTAATGTTGATAAATTTAGTGATTTTAGGTATTTACTTCGAGTAACATCGTGGATTCTTCGGTTTATCAATAATGCAAAAGATAAAAAGAAGAACATCTTCAAGACTGGTTTAATTACAGCTGAAGAAATAGATAATGCAAAGCGATTGTGGATTAAATTTTCACAGATAAATCTAATCGATGAGAATAAATTTAAACAATTACGAAAAGATTTACGTTTATTTGTTAGCGATGGTATATATCGATGTCGTGGCAGAATTGAACATGCTGATTTATAATATGATACAAAATTTCCTATTTTTATTTTCAATGACTGTTATTTTGCTAAATTATTAATTTTACATTTTCATAAGCTTGTCAAGCACAATGGTGTGAAAGAAACAATTAATGCTTTAAGATCCCAGTATTGGATACCTTGTTGTAGGCAATTAGCAAAGAGCGTGATACGAGAATGTACAACTTGTCGACGTATAGAGGGTAGGCCTTATTCATACCCTCCTGCTCCACCTTTGCCTGAAAGTCGTTTAAATTCTGATTTCGCCTTTAAAAGTATTGCTTTGGATTATGCTGGTCCGCTGTATATTAAAGATATTTATGGCGATTGTACGTTGAATAAAGCATGGATTTTCTTATTTACATGTTGCAGTAGTCATTCGATTTTATTAGACTTAGTAGCTGACTGTTCATCTAGATCATGCATTATGGGTATCCGTAGTTTTATTGGAAGACGGGGTGTTCCAGAAATTATTTATTCAGACAATGGTTCACAATTTGTTTCAACTGTTTCAATTTGTTTCGCTCTTACCTTAATAATCGGAAACAAGCTTTATCATATAACAACACTGTAACACGACTTGAAGACATTACTTGTGGGGTTCCGCAAGGATCAATTCTTGGTCCATTATTATTCCTCGTTTATATTAACGATATCTACTTATCTTCTAACATACTTAACTTTGTCCTTTTTGCCGATGATACGCAAGTGTTCTTTAGCCACACAAACATTAGCCTATTATTTAACACTGTTAATCAAGAACTTGAAAACCTGAACGAATGGTTTAAGGCTAACAAACTCTCCTTAAATATCAAAAAAAGTAAATATATTCTTTTTACAAAATTATCAAAATCTGAAACCCTCCCCTTAAAACTACCTGATTTACTAATTGATAAAACTAAACTTAAACGAGAATACTCAATCAAATTTTTAGGCGTAATTCTTAATGAACATCTTAGCTGGAGTAACCATATCAAAGTAATAGAAAATAAGATATCAAAAATTATTGGTATTATGTATAAAACAAAACATCTCCTAAACACAAATTGTTTAAAAAATATTTATTTTGCATTTGTTCATAGCTACATCAGCTACTGCAACATTATCTGGGCAAGTACTTATCCTTCAAAGTTAAATATGATCTACAAAATACAAAAACGAGCAATTCGCTTGATATTAAATGCAAATAAATACGCTAGTGCTAAAACACTACTAAGAGAAATTGGAGTGCCTAATGTCTATGAAATAAATATTCTTAATATACTTATTTTCATGTTTAAGTTTAAAAATAGTATGCTACCAAGCATTTTAAAACTTATTTTTTTTCTTTAAACCACAAATACGAAACTAAATACTCAACAAATAATTTTATTATACCAAAAACATTATCAAAACAAGCTGATTTTTCGATATTTCGCCGAGGGCCGCGGTTATGGAACTTGCTTTTAACAAACAATATAAAAACTTTAAATTCAACTTAACATTTTAAACGTGCAACAAAACAACACTTATTTGGTTTTGACAAAAAGCAATTACTATCGTATTATTAAAAACTTTTGGTAATCTTAGTTATTTAATGTCTTATAAATTGACTCAACATCACAATTATATTGTATGGTACTTAGAACATGTATGATATTATTTTATTTTGCAATACGTAATTTGTAAATGCAATATTTATTATATCTTACGCAATTTGTAGATGGAATGTAATACAGATTTATTTGATTTGTATGTATATATGAACGGACATATATTTGTGTGTACGTGTGCGTATGTGTGTGTGTATGTGTGTGTGTATGTGTGCGTATGTGTGTGTGCGTGCGTGTATAATAAAAATAAAAGTCGAATAAAATAGAGAATTAAAAAAAAAAATAATTATAATAATGAGAAGAAATAACTAATATTTTTTTATTTTTTTATTTTTTTCTCTTTCTGTAAATAATAATTTGATTTTTAAGTTCTTTTCTTGTTAAAATCAGTTCTTGCTTTAGTTTCTTTTTTCCTTTTTCATTTTTATCGGCTGAATTTTTTAGTTATATTAACGGGGCTGGATGATAAGATCATATCTTCTGCCAGCTCCGGTCGAAACTTTAATGTTATAATTTTTATGTTGTAAAAAAACATTGTAAAAGATTATTCAGTTAATGACGAAATAAATAAATAAATAAACTGAAACTCAGTACTTTGCTGCAAACCATTCTATAAAATGGAAGTTTAATGCGCCTTCGGCACCGTGGTGGGGAGGGATGTTTGAGCGACTAGTGCGAATGACTAAAAGATGTTTGAAGAAAGCCTTAAAGAATTCGAAGTCTTCTTATGAAGAAGTACGAACGTTGCTTTCTGAAATTGAAATGGTACTAAATAACCGACCATTAACTTATTTGTATAACAATCAAGGTGATGAAGCACTCACACCTAATCACTTAGTTTTTGGACATAAGCTTAAGCTTCAATCAAGTCTTAGTGCTTGTAACGATATAGAACAAGATGTGCATATACGAAACAGTATGTTATCGAATACATTGAATCATTTTAGAAGTAGATTCAAAAGTGAGTACTTGACAGAGTTGCGTGAATATCATAAATCAAAGCGGAGTAATGGATGTAATGGTATTCGTGTTAATGACATTGTATTAATTGAAAATGATAACTGTAAAAGACAATTATGGAAATTAGCACGTGTTGAAGAATTGTTATATTCAAACGACGGAGTTGTTCGCGTTGCTAAAGTTTGTTACAAAAAAGAGAATGGTAGTTCGTGTTTAATTACTCGTCAGGGTTAATAAACTATATCCTACTGAATATTCAGACGATGAAAAAATAGTAACTGTTGCCTTTATTAACGAGAAGAATATTCCTTTACTTGTAAATGGTGACCGGGAGTGTTGAAGCCTATTTGGCTTCCCGCGAATAATCTATTGGTTATAACTATTTCCCGCAGTGCATTGCGTCTTAAGCCATGCTCTCATGCTAGTTGTATATTATATATTGACCTTACTAACTTACAACTCTTCTTACTATTTAATATATTATTGAAACTCACATAGTAGTTATTTGTTAGTGTTCAAATTATATAAAGTAAACCGTTGAGTAGATTTAAGTACTCAATACTGGTTACTTTAAAAAAAAGTCCTGAAAACTAAAATTTATCCGACTGAATTTATCTTAAACACCCGACTAGCCGACTGAATTCGTCGAAAAAACCGTCTAAAATTTAAAAATCTATTTTTTTAATTTAGGTTATTTAGGTGCTCCCAAAAGTTCTTACGGTCTTATCACGAAGCACCACGGCAGAGCATTTAATTAGAAGTTTACACCTCCTTCCTTACCATTACTGTTTATTTGGCTAGAGCCGGAGTCGATCCTTGGACCTCTGAGTTCTGAGCCAAAACTCTAACCACTGCGCCACGGCTGCTGAAAATATTACTCAACCCTTGTTTGGAAGGGGTGGAACACACATCTTCTTTCTGAAATCGTTTTTTTATGCAATTTTGACACATAAAAAATCTTTGTTTCTTTAAAACATTCTGCAAAAATAATACACAGTAAAACTTGTTAATCTAAAAAAATTTTAATATTGTATTTTGTGAATGTTTTACATTGTAGATGAGAGAATTTAAAACTAGAAATATGTTATACACAAGCTAAAAAGACAACTCGAAGACTCGAAAAAAATTTATTTTTTGTTTTTTTGCAAAAGTATAACAAGTAAAAGTGATATTTAACAACATGATAGTTTTATTACTTTTAGACATTGTGGTTTATCCTCCTCCGGCTAATTGCCATACAGAGGCCACATTACCAAGACAAGTTCAGCTCCTAAAGGAGCCTCATAACCCGCTCTACGGATCAAGAGTATAGTGAGTTCGGGAAGAACAAAGATTGATTTGAGTAAAAGATAGAAAAAGTTGTCTTTTTCTATCTTTTACTCAAATAAGATAAGATAGAAATAAGATAAAAAAAAAGATAGAATATAGGAAACGGACAGGATTGCACACGATGTTAAATGGTGCAGTACGTACTGTTATTAGGGCACCTAATTAAGGTCCGCTGACTAAAACTTAATTGGAGTTCACTTGATATGAAGTCTTCCTCAACTTTCTTTGTTGCCCTTAGCGTTTTATTACATTTTGGAAAAATTGCACAATTCTTAAATTGATAAACATGATTAAATTTGTTTGATTAAAAGTTGTTCATTTTTTACTTGTGGGTTTTTATTATTTTATATATTTAGGTAAAATATTTAAAGAATACCCAAATACAGCTATGATAAAACGCATACTTTTGAAACTAAAAAATAAAATTTTGTAAAACTATATTATATCTATAAAAGTATTGCAATAAAATTTTTTGAAATTTACCTAAATTTTTCTGGAACTTTTCTGGAAATTTTCAACCCTTGACAACTTGTATCATGGTCGACGACACGGGTTTTGAAGTGAAGGGGTACAATTGTTTATTTCTAAAAGAAAAAATGCCGGGGGAGCCAAGGGGTACGCAAATCGTTTTTTTTACGAACTTTTTTTTTAATTTAGAGAACTAGATATTCTAGATATAGAACTTTTTTAAAAAAAAGTGCTATATCTAGAATATCTAGTCCTTTAATAGAGTACTTTAGTACGCCTTTAGTTAGCGGCATTACGAAAACGCTCTTGTTCGAGCTGAGCTACAGTGTCTATGCAAATTATATGAGAACATCTTCTGAACCAGCTGTCTGAGTAAAAGTAATTTGGATACCATCACCTGTATTTTCAAGCTTTTGACTGCATCCTGATAAATGTTGGTCGCTTGCATATCTAAAATCAATTGCTAATAAATTGTTGGATGCCTGAATAAAGTCAATTATGTATAAAAGCTTGAAAACCCTTTTTGCAGTTAAGCATGTTTGTTTCATTAATAGAGTTACAAGAAGAACCAGCAAAGCAGCGGAACATTTCTTCAAAGACGTGGTATAGTACCATTCCATTTGAAAAAGGCGGTTAAGCTGACCATTTATTAGAACATCTACTTTTGTGACATTCATTACAGCGTTCAACTTTTACAGGTTGCCTCGCAAAAATTGGTTGACTGAGAGCAGTATACGAGAACGTACTTGAGACTTTCACATGAGATGTTTACATCAAAGAGCCACGAAGACTGAGTTGAGTCACTTAACGAAGATCCTAATCTTAAGAGTGCTAGAGATCCATGATTGGCTTGGTCATCAACACCAATCACCAGATTTCCATGATTGGCTTGGTTATCAACACCTTGCATCAATCTGTAAAAGGCAATCAATCAGGTAAAAAACTACTAAAGTCTAAGCTAGAGATCTGCGCTAGTATAAGTTAATTGCTATTTTAAGTTGAACGATATATTTTGGGATTTGATAATATAGGTTTGGAATTTGGAACACGCGTTTCTTTAAACGAAAACATCACTTTGAAAAATGAAATTATGACAATGTTTTCATTTTTTATATACTTTTTTGCTGATTCAGTTTAAGTTCCAGTTTAATTATTTAGAAAAAACTTGAAATTCAAAAAATCGCGAAGTTATTCAACTTTAAATGCGATTTGGTTTAGAATTAGG